GCGCCGTAGCCCGAGGCTTCCTCGCGACTCGTGCAGGCCTGACGCTTCAACGGCCCGCCCGCTCGACCCGACCGCCCGGGCCCGGCCGCCCGATCCACCCGTCGGGCTCCGCCCACCCGACCCCCGCCCGTCTGGGTTCTGCGGCTCGTTGTCGTGCGCCCACCTTCCTGCCTAGCAGTCCTATCATTGAATTTAAAATTAGTGCTGTAACTGTCGGGGAAATGTTCCAAACACGTTTCAAACATGTTGTTTCAACATATGTAAAACATGTTTGAAACATGTGTTAGGCATCTGGAATTTATTTTGCAGCACGCTTCCTCTCCGTTAATCGACTTCCACAGTGCTAGTCTCTCTCGTGCACAATCCCTATCCCTCCCTACTGTCCCTTCCCTCCTGCCTCTCTTCTACTGCTTTTAGGGGCTGCGCCAACTGCACGTGACAGGTACGGTATGGATGACCGCAACGGAGGTACGAACGAGGACGATGGGGGCTGGTACTAAGCGTTTAGGACATGTCTGTCAAGTGACACGCCAGCAGATAAGAACGAACGATAGGTTAATAAATGTTGTTACTTGCTGTTGTTGTCATCCCCCCATCGACCCACCCCACTCGTGACCAATCACGCAAAACATCCCGCGACCCACTCGCGACCCACTCGCGACGCACCTCGCGCCCGCCCCCCTCCCTTAGGGTGCTATGTTAGAGGCCTCCTAGCTGGGGCCCAACTAGATGGGGTCGGATAATCGCGCCGCATCGCTCATGCTTCGCCGATGTATTGGCGATGTATCGATGCTGTCTGCGACGCACCAGCGCCGCTGGTGTGGAAGAAAAATTGAGCGCCGCATCGCCGATGCATCGGCGATGCGGCGCGATCCTCCGACCCCATCTACTCCGGTGCCATCTGGGAGGTCTAGACATTGGGACTGGAAACGCTGAACCCAAACATGTTGTCATCTCGTAGAGAGCGCTGCCGCACCCGTTTTACTTCTGCTGGGATCCGCCGACCTTCTGCCGCCTTCCGCCAAGGAAGAGGTGCCAACTCCTTCGACACTCGAAGGAGAGGCCCTTTTCTGGAGCGCGTCACGTGTCCTGTCCAGGACGTTGCGTTCGCACAGAGAGGAAGAAGCTGTCGGAGATCCGCGCGGATTCCGCAGATCAGCGCTGAGACCCCCTCCATGGGGCGCGCGGAGCGCGTTAGGGGCGGCGCCGGAGGCGCCGCCAGGGGAGCTCCAGCGACGATCCTGGCACTCCGCGCGAACCTTCGAAAATTTGAACGTTTTCTTTTTCGACGTTTCGACATTGGGCGGGGGGTCTGATTCCGAGCCTCTGCTTCATGCGGCTGCTTGCAACACTGCGTCCTAATGGGTGAGACTCCACCTGCGTGAATCCGGCGCCCAAAACAGGCCAAGATCTACTCCATGAGGTGGGGGGAGGGGTGGGGGGTGCGAGGGCCCACGGCGTTCGGCAAAACGAGGAGCAAAAAAACGATCGCTACGCATGCTTATGACACTGCTCGTTCCCGGACGGGGGGGGCCTGGGCCTCGGTCGGCGAGTCCCGCCGAGCCTTGGGGCGCCCCGAGCTCCTCTGCCTGGGGGGCACGGGTCCCGAAGGACACTGCTCCTGCCCCCCGGGGCCTTCCCACAAGAGTTCTTCATCCTGGGTCGTTTCCTCACGTAGGCAAGCACGCGCCGCTGTTTGTCAAGTAACTGCTCGCACATGGTCTGGATCCGCCAAGGGGGATCTACGATACATTTAACAACACACAAACTTTGAGCGCTCCGCGCGGATTTCTTGGATTCGCGCTGGAACCCCCTCCTTGGCGCGTGGAGCGCACCAGGGGCAGCGCTGGCGGCGCCGCCAGGGGGCCCAGGCGCGGATCCAAGAAATCCGCGCGGAGCGCCAGAAGTTTATGTTCACGTGTTTCTGTTGTCCTTCGAGATGTACGATACATTATATCGATACAGACATGTGCTTTTTCTTGGAAATTGTCGAATGGGCACTCTGCGAGAAGTGGAACGCGCTCGATGATCTCAGTCCAGGGGCCCGTGGAGTGCCCCCGTGAGCCCGCAAACGGCTTCAGCCCCCCAGGACCCGTGTCCCTCGGGACCCGACCCTGTGGGACCGGGCCTCAACCAATAGGCCCAAACATTACGGCAAGTTCGTGTCGTGAAGAACGGAGGCGACCCCGCCAGAGGCGTTCAACCTTGAACGCCGCGGGCGACCCAGAATCGCCGTTCAAGGCTGAACGATCCCCGCGGTGTCAGAAACCAACGGCGAAGTCGGCACGACGCGAACCTGACGTAAGGATAGGGAGTCTCTCACGCAGATGTACCCAAACCGAATCACCCAGATCGATGATCCCTGATGCAGAGACGGGGACCTAAATGAGGCCGCGTCTTCATTGTGGTATTAGGATTCGAGGCTCTTGTGCTCTCGATGACCTCAAGCGTTCTGACCAGGAATTCCAAGCGAATCCAGCGGTGACGACAAGGCCCACCCAGAAGGACCGAAAATGCGAAAACGAGGAAGGGGAGCAATATCGGCACTTTTCCCTCGTCCGAGCTTCCCCCCCGCGGCGACAACTCCTCCACCAGGGCGGCGTGCCGGCAGAGGCCCGCCGCGAAGGGGGACTCCTCCGCGAGGCCCTGGTCCCAGCGGCTCGAGCCCTCCGGACGCGCATCCGGGTTGTCGGTGCACGGGATGACCACCTCTCTGAAGGGACGGGGGGTCTGGACGTCCACGACCCCTCCTCGTTCTCATCCCCGTCCTCCTTCTCTCCCGCCTCGATGCTTGACCCTTCCTCCTCTTCGACGTCCCTCCTCCTCGACCCCCTCCTCTTCCTCGATCCTCGACCCCTCCCCCTCGATCCTCGACCCCTTCCCGGTTTGGAACATGGACTGACGGGGTCCAGGGACACACACACACACAAACAAGCACACACACACACACGCAAACATATACGCATATACATATATACACATATCATCTCTCAAATCCCAGGATTCCTCGTCTATTCCACATTTTCAGGGTTTTCGTCTCAACCTCCACTGCCCAGATGTTCCACACTGTCCTGGGAATCGGCGATGGCTTGTGTCTGTGTCTTCTTGTCCCTCCTGATGTTTGGACCTCCGAAGAAACCAGAACGTCACTGGATCCCTCCCTGTCCCGAGGGCCCCACGCCTCCAGGGATGACCACCTCGCTCGGGGCGGGGGGGGGGGCACGAGACGGGGGGGGAACCAACGCTTCGAGGCTCGAGGTCTTCAAGCGCTTTCGTTGGCTCTCAGAGGTTTGCCAGCCGCGGCATGGCTAGGGGGCAAACAGACCTCCCTCGCTTTTGACCACCCTCGCTTCCAAGAGATACCAAGCGATGCCAAATTGCGGCCTGTACTGGTCAGGCCGCCTGACAAGGAGGCGCGTGGTATGGCTTGGTTTTGCCTGGAAGCGAAAGCGGGGGAGGTAATTCACGCTCTGAATGGCTTCCAACGGCTGCGCCTCGCCGGGAGCGTTCCGGGGCTCCCCGGATCGTCCCGAACACAACCACCTTGCTCGGGGTGGGGGGGGGGCCACGCTTCGGCGGCGAGCCCAGGGGGGAAGTGAGAGGGGGCAGGTCGTCTTAGGTGGTGGCGGGGCTTCTCGAGAGCCCCTATGGCCTTCTGAGAGGCCGTCACTCTGTGACTTCGGAGAACACTTCCCGAGCTTCTCAGAGGCCGGAGGCCTTTTGAACCATCTGAGAAGACCCAGGGGGGAAGGCCACGATGGGGCGGGATTAGCTCAGGAGGGGGAAGAGCAACCTGGGATCGGCGATGCATGGCCGACAGCTCGGCGGGCTTCTGCGAAGGCCCTCCGCATCTCATGGCGCAGGAAGTTTGGGCTTTCAAGGGGAATGTTGAAGACCTGTACCCGTCCGGGGAGAAGACGAACTTAGCGAGGTAGAGGAGAATGCATACGAAGTGTAGGATGAAGATGGAGACCACCGCTGCGGACAGGCGTCTGAGCCTAGCCGATGATAAGCAGCATAAGTACCCCTCGACACCGTTTGGAGAGACATCTAGGTTAGGTGGACCAGAAACATGACGGATAGTGAGTCTTCTTTGCAGACGTATCAGACGAAACCACCCGTATGTTTAGCGTATCCCTGGCAACCGTTGACATAAGCTAGGCCACGCATTCAATGTGTTTTTGGGGTTGGGGGTTGCATTATGCTTTCAGGAGCGAAGGCCAGGGGAACGAGGCCGTGACCTCCAGAACCTGTTGGCAACCCTGCGTGTGTGCCCCCTCGACCATCGGGGGGGGCTCACGCGCTGCGGTGACCACGCTGCGTGGCGAGCCGGTGGGGATCGAACAGAGCCCCTTCCTTGGCTCCCGGGCCACGCATGCACGCCACCCGCGCTGCGCGACGCGCGATCTTCGCGCCGCCGCGCGGCCACGCCAGAAGGGAAACACTCCCAAGCCCAAGCCGCGAAGCGCACTCTCTGCCGCCCCCCCGGTGCGGTGCGCATGCACCGCCCATGCGGCTGAGCCGGGAGGACATACACACCGGTCCCGTGCCCAGGGCTGGCAGGGCCACGGACCAGTGGTGTGATTGATGTGGCTCGTGAGCGGCCAACATGTCCCTCGCCATCGCTCGGGCGTCCGTGCCCCTGGGTACTGCTCGGCTTCGCGCGTGCTGTTCTGCTCGATGGCCCAGGATGCTCCTCGACGGCCCTCGCACGCACACGTCCGAACGAGGCCAAGATCAGCATCCGAGCCCTCGCGGTCCGGTCTCTGGGGCGCGCTTGCCGCGGAGCCGCGGTCGCACGGAGGCGCTCCGCGCCGGGCCTCCGCGAGACCAGCGCCCCGCGCCCGCGGGGAGGCGGCCCAGGGGCCCGGCGCACGAGGCCGCGGCTACGGAGATGTGCGGCGCCCCACGGAGGGCTGCCCACGGCCCCCCCCCCCCCGCCCGCCGAGCCTCGGAGAGGTACCAGGTGGGGAAGAGCGTGTCGTCCCAGTCGAAGATGATCACGGTCTCGTCGGGGGTGAACCCCGCGGGCGCCGGCTCGGCGGCCTCCTCCTCCTCCTCCTCGGACTGGGACCCCGCGGCAGAGGGCTCGGCCCGCTCGGGCCCGTCGCGCGCGGCTGCTCCGTGGGCCGACACGGGCTCGGTGAGGGACGAGTGCGTCTTCCGGCGGCGGCGCGCCCAGGGGCGCCAGCAGAGCGGGCGGGCAGCCTCTCAGCAGGCTCGGGGGGGCTCCCGGGCCTCCCGAGGAGCACGCCCTCGGAGACCCCTTCCGCAGCAGCAGGAGACCTCCTGAGAGTTACGTTGCTCCCATCGTACGCGAGGACCACATCCCAGAAATCACGTCGAGCACCCAGACAAGTATCGAAGCAGTGTCGAGCGAGTATCGCCTCCCAGTGCCCCCGACACGCGAAAAAAACCTCCAGCTTCGGTGCGCCCTTGGTGCTCGACGTTCCTGCTGGCGGTCCAAGCTAAAGTAGGCTGGAACATCATACGGCAGGTTCGCGTCGTGTCGACCCCGGCGTTGGTTTCTGACACCGCGGGGATCGTTCAACCTTGAACGATCGGCCCTTTCCGAAACGTCCGATCGTTCAACATCGATCGATTCTGGGTCGCCGGAAGCGTTCAACCTTGAACGCCCGCGCTGGGGTCGCCGCTGGTCGACACGACGCAAACCTGCCGTAGCCTGCGAGGGCCCCCCGCCCCCCTCTCGGGGCAGGGCGAGTGGAGGCAACGGCGGCTCGGCATCGGCCCCTGGACGCGTCTCCCCGGGCCTCAGCGCGCCGTCTCTCCGCGAGCCGCGCCCCCCCCCCTCGCCCTCTCCCCCCCCCACTTGAAGGCCTTGCCACCGCTGTCTCCACTCTCGCCCTCCTCCGACAATTCGCCATCCTCCCCCCTCGGCGCGCCGCCGATGAACGCGGTCCGACGCCTCCTCCTGCTCCACCTCCACCACCCCCTCCAGGCGCGACGACCTCCAGTTCGGCGGCACACTCGTGCTCCTCCTCTTCCGCAGCCGCTCCTGCGGAAAAATCAACCGGGAAAGGCACCGGCACGCCGCGATGCTCCCTGGACTCATGCCAGGGCGCGTTCTGACCAGGCTTTCTCGAGGCGAATCCAGCCGTGGTGAAAACGAGGCAAGGTAAGGGCAGCGGCACACGTCGGTCGGAAGAAGAAGAAGAAGAAGAAGAAGAAGAAGAAGAAGGGGAACAAAAATGAAGCAGGAATGCGGATCGAGTAGACTGGGCTCAGGCCCTCCCAGTCAATAATAACACAACACAGCAACCATGTCGACGCTTGAAGCAGGAAAGCGCCTGAAGTCGAGTGGGACCTGGACATCAAAAAAAACTGTTCAACGACTGGCGTGTATGGGTACCGCTTCCTCCTCTGCGCTCCGTGGAAATCCGCCTCCGCTCCAAGGGCGCCCCCACGGTGTCAGCGCGGTCGTCCCACTCGTCACACCCCGTGTTTCTCCTCGGGTTCCCCGCGGGCGACGGCACACGTCCCCCGCCCGACCCCTCGCGGCCTGGCCTGCCGCGGGTGCGGGGAGGGATCCATCTCCGCCGCCTGGGGGGGCAACTTCCTGGGACCCCAGGTGACGACGACAGCACATCCCGCCTCCGCCCCAGTCAGGACACCCACTCCCGACCTGGTGGTCCAGGGGGTCCTGGCTCCAAACTGGGGGTGGGGGTGGCTGTTGGGGGTCCTCGGGAGACAGAAAACCGCGGCCACCCCAAGCAAGGATCCCCTGGTCGACCAGGTCCAGAGTGGGGGTCCTGGCTGGGGGTGGGGGTGCGCTGGGCCGTCCTCAGCAGTGGGCGGTGGATGTAATTGTGTTTGGGGCCCCAGGGGCCCGAGCATATCTTCATTCCTTGGGAAGCTTAGAAAGGAGCCGGTACCGCCACTCACTGAGCAGAATGGACCTGTCCCATGGGGGCCCTCTGGCCAGAAGTTCGGGGCGACTCCAGCGGTGGCGACGAGGGCCTCCCATGGGGGCCCAGAAACTCGAACACGAGGCAAGCCGAGCGGTATCGGCACCTCTTCCTCCTCAGAGGTCCGCCGCCTGCCGAGGTCCCCGAACGTCGCTCCCCCGGCTGGTGGGTCACAGTTCCCCGCCTCCGGCGTGGGTGCGCGACTCCAAGGCGTGCGCTCCGCGCGCGGGGCGCCCGCGCAGGGCCGCGCTCTCGCCCCGTGCCCGCGGGGCCGCGGCCGACTCCAGACCGCGAGGCCGCGGATGCTTCTGCGGCAGCTCCTTGGGGCCTTCCGTACCACATCGTTGGCTCGGGCGAAGCGACGCTGATTGACGCTAGTTGGAGATAGTGGGCGCTAAATCGACGCCAATCGACGCTGAATCAGCTCATCGATGACCAGACGCTCATCGACGGTAGTGCGCTCTGAAAACGGAACGGCGAGTTGGCGGCGCGCACAATGAGGTATGGGGGAGGAGAGGATGCTTCAGCTTCTTAGCAGGCGCGGGCCCCGCATCTACAGAGAAGATTCGCGCCTTCTAAGCAGGGGTGCTTCTGAGAAACCGTGCCCCCTCCCCCTACAATCGGACCTGGGCCAAAATGACATCCCTCAAGAACCTGAGACGTTCCGCCGGCCAGAACACAGAACATGTAAGGACAGCCTCCCCCAGGATGCACAAGCACATCCAACAGACGCTCAGAGCATGAGGGCACCCTGCCCGAACCGACAAGGAACTTGTTTGAGGCGCCAGAAATAACTGTCCGATTCAGCAATCAGCCAGTCGGGGAGTCGGCCAGTCGGGAAGTCGGCCATCCTGCCAGCCGGCGAGTCAGAGTCGGCAAAGGACGGGGGGAAGAGTCGGATAAGTGTAATCCCAATGCCTCAGAAATTGCCCAAATGCCCAAACCGACCTCGATCTTATACCTCGGTCCGACTGTACCCCCTCTGCGCGTGGCCGAACGAGGCTCCCATGATGTGCCACGGTCGCTACCGACTTCGCTTCAAAATTTCGGTATCGGGCGCGACCAATTTGTTTCAAAAGCGGTCACGACCGATCGGTCGCGACCATTCGGTCACGATCGGTGGCGACCGGTCGCGAGCGACTCTGGGATCTGTCGCGATCGGTCGCGGCCGACTTGGAGTGCCGATCGGTCGCCACCGAGCGCGACCGAAAAAATCGGTATCCAATGATCTGGGGACCGTACTCCCCTCTGCGCGTGGCCGAGCAAGGCTCCCATGAAGTGCCGCCGAACGCGGAGGAGGAGAAATCGGAGGAGGCGGAGGGGGATTGGGAGGGGAAGGAGGAGGAGGAGGAGGAGGAGGAGGAGGAGGGGAGGAGGAGGAGGAGGAGGAGGAGGAGGAGGAGGAGGAGGAGGAGGAGGGAGAGTGAGGAGGAGGAGGAGGAGGAGGAGGAGGAGGAGGAGGAGGAGGGAGAGGGAAAAAAGAAGGATGAGGCGTGCCCGCCGCCCGCGGGCCTCCCCCACCTGGCCGCCTTGGCCTCCTCCGCGAACCTCTCGAGGCAAGTGGGCGTGGGGGCCGACCCGCGCCGCGCGGCCGAGGCGCCGCTGGGGTCCCGGAGGTACGGGCACCCCAGCTCCACCGGGAAGTTGCTCGCCTGGGGAGCAGCTCGGGGCTGAGCCCAAACGGTGTCGTTCGTTTTCGTTGTTTGTTTTCGTTCTCCCTCGTTTGGTCTTCGGTTCGCCCGTACCGCAGAACGAAATCGGAACGAAAGGCCCACGAAATCGCCAAAACAACGTTTCGGTCCAGCCCTGGAGCATATGTCATTGCCCCGACCTTTGCAGACGGGCTGCAGCGGATTGTATTGCGTGGATTTCTGTCAATGCGAGCCCCCCAAACGGCAAACGAAAAACAATATGAATTCCACGTGGATGTTTAGTAGTCTTCATCCCTGGCAAAAAAAACGGCGCGAAAATCACTTCGAAATGCGGACTGAAACTCTCCAGGGCAATCCAGGCCCACCCCACCGTTCGAACGGAATCCGCTCTGCGATGTTGGCGCCATGACATCTGCTCTTTTTTTGCGGCAGCAGCAAGCATTGATGATGGGGCGTCGTCGGGGGGGTCGAGACGAGGCCAAGACGACGAGGATCATCGGCTGAGGACGGCATCGAGAATTTCTCTGAGATCTGGCGTGCCTGGAGGCTGTCTCGAGCGCCGCGGCCCAGGGTTCCGGAACGCTCTGGAACGGATTTGTCCTCGTCATAGACCCGTCCGAGGGGTGGGAGGGGGGAGCATGACGCAGTCGGCCCGTATCAGACGGATGCGCGAGAAGGATGCAAGGGCCCTGGACTCTCATTTCGAAGCTTTCTTCGAGCGGGGCGCGGCCAACGAGAGTGGCCAAGGATGGACCGAGGAGGCAAGGATGCAAGGGTACCCTTGGGAAGGATACCCATCCTTCTTATGTGGATTGACTGTAATAAGCGTTGTGAGGCGTCATCAGGGAAGGCTAAGACAGAGCCAGGACGAGGGTGAACATCGGGAGAGGACACAACGAGAATTTCTCTGAGATTCGACGGCTCTGGGGGCTGTCTCGGACACCGCGGCCTTCTCATAGCGTTCCGGAACGCTCTGAGAGCGCTCTGGAACGCTTTAGAACGGATTTATCCTCGTCTTAACCCCGTCCGATCAGGACCTGCTTCCCCGACGCCGTGATTTTTTCACAACGTCGACCCCTATAAGTCTCGACCCTTCACCTGGACCGGTTCTTCATCCCGAATAATTTTAAAGACGGTACGGGCCCAGCGAGGGCCCTCCTCTGGCCGGAAATACCCGGGAACCTCCCGTCGCGAGTTGTTCGCAGCGCGTTTTCCTCAGGACGCGTTTCCCTCTGGACGGACTTATCCTCGTCCTAGCCCCGTCCGGGGTGTGGAAGGGGGGGGGGCAGAACGAAACGCCCCTCCCTGCCGCGGTGTGGGTCTGGCACCACAAAGTATGTTTCCGGACGCACTGCGGCGGTGCCGGGGACGCACGGGGGGGGCAATCGCGCGTTAGACCCCAACCCAAAGGGTTCACGAGCCAATCTCCTGCTGGAGAATGCCGTCGGGCGGCTCCGTCGACTGCATCCGGGCCACGGCTGGTGGGACATCGATTCTGCACTGGCGCTTCAGAGAGATCGCAGAACCGACAGGCGGCCAGCTCGACAGTCCGCCAACGTCGTCACCTTCGGCGTCGTCGTCAGAGCAACCTTCCTCGGGGAGGGCGGCGAAGGAGTCCACGGACCACGACAGCACTGTGTGGGCGCGCACCTGGATGTGTAGGGGGACGAAACATGACATAAACATAAAAAACTCGGAGGTCCGCGCGGACTTCTCGGATCGGCGCTGGACCCCCCTCCCTGGCGAGCGGAGCGCGCCAGGGGCCGCGCCGGAGGCGCCCCCAAGGGGGTCCAGCGCGGATCCGAAAAATCCGCGCGGACCTCCGAGTTTTCTTGTTTATATCATTCTTCGCTTCCCTAGATGCGAGCACTCGTCGTGCGGCGCACGCTGCGGTCCTCCTCCTTCTTAGCCTCCTGCCCCGGCCCGCCGGCGGTGTTCGACATGGGCCGCGGGTGCTCCATTGGGCAGAGCTCCAGGCTGCGCGCGCAGCGCCCCAGATGTGGACCCAGTTGGCGGAGGAGGAGGAGGACGAGGAGGACGACGAAGAGGAGGAGGAGGACGACGAAGAGGAGGAGGAACACGAAGAGGAGGAGGAGGAGGGAGGTTGAGGAGGGGGGGGGGAGGAGGAGGAGGAGGAGGAGGAGGAGGAGGAGGAGGAGGAGGAGGAGGAGGAGGAGGAGGAGGAGGAGGAGGGAGGAGGAGGAGGAGGAGGAGGGAGGAGGAGGAGGAGGAGGAGGAGGAGGAGGAGGAGGAGGAGGAGGAGGAGGAGGAGGGGGGAGGGGAGGGGGGGAAACGGGGGAGGAAGAGGAGGAGGAGAACCCAACGCCAAAGGAAACCCCAAGGGAGCCCTCAGCACTCCGACTCCGGGACCCGTAAAAGCAGCCCCAACGGCAGCCGCTGGAGGCGGCGCCCGAGCGTCGAGGAAACAAATCGGGCCTCCAGGGCGGCGAGGGTTGCCCAACGAACCTCGGGCAGCCGAAAGGTCTCGATCCCACCAGGACGGCGGAAAAAATGGAGCCCGTTCGACCGCCGCACGTGCGCGGTCCAAGGCCGCTGGGCAACCGAATGAGCTACGGCAGGTTCTTTGCCGTGACGACGTGAGTACGAGGCGGGGATTTATCCATATCCACCGCCTGGGAACCGACGTCCTGGTGCCCCAGTGGGCGGTGGATATGGATATATTTCGGCCCGCAGGGGCCCGAATACGTCCATATCCACCGCCTGCCGAGGCACCGAAATCTGACCCTCCAGGCGGTGGATATGGATAGATTCCCGCCTCGGAGTGAGTGCTGGTTTCTGTCACCGCGTGCCTTGGTCGACCCCGAACGACTGCGGCTCTTCGACGGCGAGGCTGGCCGATGCCAGGCCACCGGCGGGTCCCAACCTGGAACGCCCGCGCGGCGCTGGGGGCGCTCGCCGCGCCGGCGCGGCGCGAACCTGCCGTGTGAAGGTCGCAAGAGCCCACACGAGGAGTTCTGGACCTGTCGGAGATACTGACACCGCTCCCTCCCTGGACCTCACCCGGGGTGCGCTCTGACCAGACAATCTCCAGGACTGTCTGGCCAGGGCCACGTCGTGCTTGACTTTTTGTTGCAGCGTTTCGACCCCTTCCCCGAGGCCCTTGTTCGAAGATCCCAGGGCCCGGCGAGGGCCCCCAGATCCGAAAACAGCGAAAATCAGTGCGTCGTGATCTTCTCGCGACGCGAGGGGGCATGGGTCCAGGCCGAGCACCTGGGTCGCTTGGGGATTTTGGAAGTATAAATCCTGGATTAGTTTCAAGCGGTCGGCAAAGAAGCAACGTTGTTGAAATCAGGGCACAACGCACTTGTGGCTATCAGCACTGGCACCACATCCTTATATACGACACCCCTTTTCCGACCTCTGATATATCGACACCTCTTCCCCCTCTGAAAGACCACCACCAGCTTGGAGGCGACCAGGGAGTCTGAACTGGATGGGGCCCAAGAAAATCTGTCAGCAGGAGGGATGAGGCCAATGCGTTCGAACTCGGTCCCTGGATGTCCAGGACCCCTCACAGGGGCACATCTCATGCAACGATTCACCCTGGATCAGTTCTTCACGGTCCGGGGCCCGAAAACAGCCACTGGATGCCGAAAAAGGCAGAAAACCTTCCCGAACCCAAAACCTCGAATCTGCCCGCCTTCCTGCTGGCAGGAACCAGTGCTGCTGGGCTGGGCCAAAGCAGTGGTGTTTGTCCTCGTCTTGTTTGCGCTCTCCCTCGTTCTGTCTTCGTTCCGCCTCCGCTGCAGAACGAAGTCTGACCGAAGCCGATCCCCGAGATCGCCACAACACCGTCTAGGTCGAGCTCTGCAGTGCTGGGGCGCCCCATACCCCCAGACTGCTCCAGACCACGGGGACCCTGGTGCCCGCGCGCACTCGGGCCGGGCGAAAGGGGGGGATAGCAAAGGGGGGGGGGTTCAGACTCGGCTCACGTAGCTGATCTTCCTGGCGCCCCTTGGCGCCTGGAGGCGCCCAAGTGGGCCCGGCGGCGGGGGGGGGCAACCAGCTGCATGCAGCAGCCTTCGTGACCCCCTCTGCCCCGATCCCCCCCCCATCTCTCGGGGAGACGTAAGACCCGGGTACGGGGGACTCGGAAATCCCCGACGAGGTCGTCAAAAAAATGACGAGGCCGAGCCTGCATTTTGACGAGGCCTCCCGCTGTAAACATCCCACAAAACTCCTCCTCGTCAAAATCCGAGTCGCGGTCGTCAAAAAACGATGGCGAACCCGAGTCCTGGCAAACCGGGGTCTTACGCTCCCCCGAATCTCGTTCGGCCCGACGCACCCCCGGGAGCCCTGCCCGTGCTCATCACGCGCCGGCCGCCCGCGCCGCCCACCTCGCCAGGGCGGGGCGCATGTCCGCCCAAGGGCGTCGGGGGCAGGGGCGCGCCCAGGGCGGGCCCGGTGCGCGCGCCGAGCCCGCCGCGCTCGGCCAGGTGCAGCTGCGGGCGAGGAGATGCTCGGAACGCTCTGGCGAGCGTGAGAGGGTGGTAGGAAGGCAACTGCTGGAGGGTCCTCGTCGGAGAGATCGGGGAGAACTGAGGCCCCCGTGGGGCTGTTACGCCAGGTGAGGCCGCGGACTCAGCGGGATGGAGCGGGATGGAGCGGGATTGAGACTGAGAAAACGGGATTCCGAGGAATTCGACCAGGTTTCGGAGCAGGCAAAATCCGAATTCTTCAACTCCCAGGAGTTGCGCCCGAAAAAAAGAAAAGGGTTTTCGGCAGCTCCAAGGACATCGAGGGCATACCGAGAGAATTTGTTGGGGTCGCCGCGGCCGGAAACCCCGAAAACCTACAATTTAAACCCTACACCCCATCCCTCCTCCAGACGAAGCCATGAATGGGACAAACTCGGGGTGAGGATGACTCGAGGAGGAGGAGCAGGAGGAGGAGCAGGAGCAGGAGGAGGAGGAGGAGGGGGAGGAGGAGGAGGACGAGGACGAGGAGGAGGAGGAGGAGCCCTCAGCTTCTTTCTGGTCAGAGCGCCAGGCTGCGCGAGCGCAGCGCCCCAGATGTGGACCCCGTTGGCGGAGGAAGAGGACGAGGAGGACGACGAAGAGGAGGAGGAGGAGGAAGAGGAGGAGGAGGGAGGAGGGGAGGAGGAGGAAGAGGAGGAGGAGGAGGAGGAGGAGGAGGGAGGAGGAGGAGGGAGGAGGAGGAGGAGGAGCCTCCAGCTTCAAGTCTGAGCGCACCCCAAAGCGAAATCGCGAGCACCCCAAACCATTCACAGAGGAGCGAGGCCGTCCTCGGCGCCTCCTCGACGACGACGACGGCGACGGACGACGAACGGCGGCGGCGGCGACGACGACGACGAACGACGAACGACGACGACGACGAGGGCGAGGGCGAGGACGAGGAGGACGAGGACGAGGACGAGGACGAGGACGAACGACGAAGACGACGACGACGACGACGACGACGACGACGACGACGACGTCGACATCGACGACGACGAACGACGACTACGACAACAACAACGACTTCCGCAGGGGTGGGGGGGGAAGCCGCCGAACGGTATCGTGAGCTCCTCAAATGCAATGCATGGATCAAGCGATCCCTCGGGGGGAGACGGCGGGATCCGATTGGGATCCGATTGGGGAATCAAAGACGATGCCAAGACGGGGACAAAACCGGGTGAGCAGAACTTCGACGACCCTGTCGGAGTGTGTGAGACGTTTTTCCGTTTGGGTCGTCGTCGTCGCCGTCGTCGCTCCTTCCCGTTCCCCAGACCTTTCTCCTGAAGCGACCCAGACGAACCAAATCAAACAACATCGCAACCGATCTGAAGGGAAGCCGCCCTTGCAAAGAAGCCCTTCCCTTTGATCCCTTCCCTGCCGGGGGGGGGGTCCAAGAGGGAGTCCTGGGAGGGGCACCCGGGGTTGGGTCCCACGAGGGGGTGCCCTGGGAGACCCCCCACAGGGGGGCCCCCTGTGGAGCAGGGGAACAGGGGGTTGGTTCCCCCGTGGGCAGGGGAGCTCAGGACTACTGCCCCCGCCCCCTCCGTGTGAGCGAGGGGACCACCATCACCGCCCTCTCCCCCCGGACCCCTCCCCCGGGAGGCACCCTCCTCATTCTGATCTGCTGGTGCGGGGATCCTTCGTATTTTCCCCATGCCTCCACAAGGCCTCAGATCCACTCCGAGGCAGCTCCGAGTGACCACGGAACCTCCCAGCTACCAAGAAGTCCCCCAAGAGGCTCTCAAGAAAGCCCCGAGAAGGGCTCCAGAGCGTCAGCGTCGTCGTCGTCGCCGCCACCGTCGTCGTCCTCATTCAGGGTCCGCGGCACCGGCTGTAAGGCTTCCCCAATCGAGAATCCCTGATATCCGGCGGCTCTGGAGGATGTCTCGGGCGCCGCGGCCTTCTCGGAGCGTCCCCGAACGCTCTGAGAGCGTTCGCGGGAGACGGCGGGATCGGAACCCGATTGGGATCCGGTTGGGACATTAGTGGGATCATGTGACAACCCTCTTGGGCTCTCGTTGGAATCAGATTGGGGTCTTGTTGGGATCCTATTGGAACCCTGGTGGGCTCCCGCGCTCCTTGGTGTGATCCCGACCCGAGGGGCCTGGGGGCCCGACATCACTTCCCGGGGCAAGAAGCGATACAGTTTCGCCGAAAAGGGGGGATGGTGCGCTCATTGGCTGGCCCCCCTGCCCTCCACGGGGGCCTTCACCTCCCCGGGCCATGGGACCGCGGCACAAGCGGAGTGGACTAAACAGCCAGTCATGGGGAATATCTGTATGTATATATATATAGAGAGAGACATGTACATGCATGCATTCACACAGGCATGCATGCATGCATACACACACACACATATATATATATAAATGTACACATAAAAATATAGTCATACATGCATACATACATAAATATGTACATGCATACATACATACATGCATGCATACATACATACATGCATGCAGACAGACAGACAGACAGACAGACAGACAGACAGGCAGACATACGTGCGTGCGTACATACATATATATATATATGTATATATATATATCCATACATATATATATATATGTATATATATACATGAAGAAATAATAAGAAAATAAAAAAGAAACAATGAGGTGGGGGGGTTGGGGGAGGGGATCGCGCGCGGGGGGCAGGGATGGGCCGTCCTTCGCGTTTCTGCGCGCGGGGGGGGGGGTCGGAACGGGCCGTCTCGGGCGGGGCTGGGAGGAGCGTCTGTGAGCTATCCTTAGATCGGGCGTGTACTTCTGCAGGCGGATTTTGGACGAAAAACCAAGCATTTTCAAAAAATGATACAAGAGTTGTCAAAAACTATCAAACAATGCTCATGTAGAGGGACACGCCCGACTTGAAGCTATCCGGAGCACTCGGATTACAGCCAACCCGTATAGCAAGGATGCGCGACACGGACGCGAGGGCCCTGAAAGGCCACGTCGAAGCTTCTCGAGCGGGGCGCGGCCAACGAACGTGGCCAAGGATGGGCCGAGGAGGCAAGGATGCAAGGGTGTACCCATGGGGAGGATGCCCATCCTTTCTATGCGGGTTGGCAGTATTCGGAGCATTCGGATCATGTTGGAGGGGGGGTGCGGAGGGGGCGAGGATTAGGTCGGGCATGACCTCCTACAGGCGGATTGTACGAAAAATAAAACATTTCCAACACATGTTCAAAGATAACAAACAAAATAATTGAAAAATCGTCCCAGCACTATTTTTCTACTAGTTTCAAGTATACCTCCTGTGGAGGGACACGCCCGACTTTAGGCGAGGAGGGAGGGACGAGAAGCGAGGAGGTGGGTAAAGGACGACAACCCTCCTTGCTTGCTCCTCTTGAGCCTCGTGGCGTCGCACGGGCCACAAGAAGGCCCGTGGCTCCGAGAAGATATACCCGCAGAGATCTCGGCTGTCGGAGAGCATGGACCACGCGAAATCAGGCTGGGCTTAAGTTGGGCGTCCCCCTACAGGCGGATGTTGGGCGATTTTCTTTGGGAGCAAATTTAAAACAAAGTATTCAACACCATTCAAAAATACAGGACAATCGTCCCCAGACTTTTTCTTACCATTTTTGAAAATTCCCCCTGTAGAGGGACGTGCCCGACTGAAGGCTGGGCAGACATGCTGGCATCAGAGCAATCCTTGAGCAACGCGCGGTCGAAGCTTCTTGTCACAGGGTACCTTCGAGGCGGAACGAAACCCCTTTGGGGACTTCGGTTGCGCCCAAGTGCACGCGAAGCGCCGGGGGAAACCTCGGGAATGGACCCGAGGGACATCTAGAAGAAAAAACTGCATAACCATAAACTGTTGCCCCTCCGCGCGGATTTCTTGTATCTGCGCTGGACCCCCCCTCCCTGGCGCGCTCCGCGCGCCAGGGGCGGCGCTGGAAGCGCCACCGTGGGGGCCCAGCGAGGATCCAAGAAACTCGCGCGGTGCGCCAACAATTTATGTCTGTGCCGTTTTCTTTTTCGAACATCGAAGCCCTGCCGAGACCAAAACGGCACCCATCCCGAAGATCTGACTGCTGGTCGATGCGCCCTGCGGCGGCCCCGTGTGAAGGCCGATGGTCGTCAGGGGGCAGCCCGCAAGCGGCATCTGCTTCACGAGGACTTCCCCCCCCACACCAGGCCAGGCCGCGCGGGCGCACTGTGGCGCAGAAGCAGCTCTGTGAGCACAACAAGTCGACGAGAATTCTTGATAACATGTCTGGTAACGGTCGTTACCCGGAGGGGTCGGGCGGGTGCTAATGGACGGGGCCCGAGCCCCAAAGGGCACCTTTAGGGCCCTTTTCTTCACCCCCCCATGTGAGCCACCCCCCGACCGACCAGAGGGAGGACTTGGGCCCCAGATGTTGGTAACGCTTGGCCGCGGGCGCACTGCGATCGCCATGGTGCGCGCGCGACCACCAGCAGGTGGGGGGGGGGTCCCGGACCCCGCCCCACGCACGATCGGGAGACGTGGCCCGAATGGGTGGCCCAAGGTACGACCGCCATTGCGCTTGGGTCGGGCATGTCCTCCCACAGGCGGACTTTGGACGAAACATCGAAATTTGTTAACCAAAAATCCTCAAACATAGCAGAAGATAGTCGAAACATCGTCCCCTGACAATGTTTGAACCATTCTCGGATGCTCCTCCTGAAGAGGGGCACGCCCGACCTACGACCAGAAAACAAAACCCGTCGATGCGCCCACCGCGCGGCGGCGCCTGGCGGCGGAAGACACCCCTGCGGCGGCGCTGCCGGCGCGTCTGCACCGCCCCACGGCCCCTGCTGGCCCCCTCGGGGCATCCAGCTCAGCTCCGGCGGACCTCGCCGGGCGGGCGGGCGGGACGGCGGGGTGGAGGCGCGGCTGCTGCCGCAGCCGCCGCGCCGCCGCGCCGTCGCCGCTGCCACGGCTGCGCTGCCGCCGCCGCCGCGGTGGACTCGTGGCTGCGAAGGGGGCCAACAGGGTGGCAGTGCCGGTGTCTGCGAGGGCGAGCTGGAGCACACTTTGTGGCCCATCGAGGAAGCCCAGCGGCAGAGAGAGGCGGCCGAGGGGGGAGGGGAGGGAGGAGCGGGGGGGGGGGCGGGGTCACGCAGCCAGCACGCAGGCTGGAACACAGAGCACACACACAAGCACATGTTGGGAGCCCACCCCCGATTGCACCTGCAATTCCCCTATCCCCGTGTACCTCCTACCCCTTTTGCTCCGACTCTCCCTGTGCCTCCACCGCCCGTTCCTCTTGTTCAACTCCCCCCCGCTCATCACCCTCTCCACCGTCCTCGTTCGTTCGTTCGTTCGTTCGTTAACTAAGTGGTGCCTCAGCCCGGCGCGCCTCTCTGCGCACTCGCCGCGACCAGGTGCCTGCGGCGCACGCGCCCTGACGGCCCTCAGAACCCTCAAGAGAACTTCTGGGAGCTTCCGAGCAAGATTTCCGCAGGAGCCCAGGCGATATGCCCCAGGGAGTCCGCAGAATGTCTTGCAGAATTCCAAGGAGAGGCCGTCGCAGCCCACGAGGACCTACCCAAGGAAATTCTACAGGATGTGCTCGTGCGGCGCTCGGCGGCGGACTCCACCCTCCAGGGGCCACGATGGGCGGCACGAGTGGGGAAATGAGAAGGCCGGGCCTTCTCAGAAGGCTCGGAAGTCCCACGTCCTCCTGAGAAGTCTCCCGAACCCTCGCCGAAAACACAGAGGAAACTCCTCAGAAGACGAGAGGGCTTCTGAGAGGTCCACCCGCCTTCTGACAAGGCCTTCTCCTTCTCACTCCCCGCTCGGGCGTGCTGCCGAAGTTGGTTTGGGGGTCACAACTCGGGTCCCCGGCGATCGTTCGGGACGATCCAGGCACGCCTGGCACGCCCTCGGCGAGGCACAACTTCTGGCAAGCATCTCGAGGCTGGGAAACCGGCGATAGCCGACGAACACGTCCTGAAACCTCGAACCTCGAACCCGAACCTCGAGCTCGCTCGCCGCCGAGTGAAGGACCACTGCCTCCTCGAGCTCGCCGCCGACACGAGGCCTCGCCCCTCGCGGAGCGAGCCCCCCCCCCCTTCGGCACGCCGTGGCCTCCTCGGGGATCTTCTGACCCGGGTCAATCCAGACCCGGGTCAGCAGGAAACCAAAAACTGCAATGCAGAAAAAAAAACTGCAACGCAGATCTTCGCAAACCCAGGTCAGCCAATATGCGCGGCCGCCTCGCGGCCACGAGCGGCTCGCTAACCCGGGTCAGCCAGAGGGGGTCTTCGCAGGATCCTGCAGGATCTGGTGCCCTGGCTGACCCCCGTTTGCATTGCCCCCCGTCTCAAGACTCCCGACCTCCTCGCGCGCGAGAGGCTCCGGCCCTCGCGCGCGGTGCGCGCCCGCCGTGCAGCGAGGCGCCGTCCTTGCCAGCGCTCGGGCGTCCATTCCCCGCGCATGTTTCGCGTGCGCTTTTGGATGGAACAACTCATGGTGGCAGCATGTGATTCTAAAACGCACACACAGTAGCAACAAACAACAACAACAACAACAACAACAACAACAACAACAACACCAACAACAACAACAACAACAACACCAACAACAACAACAACAACAACAACAACAACAACAAAATCAACAACAACAACAACAACCACAACAACAACACCAACAACACCAACAACAACAACTTCAACAACAACAACAACACCAAAAACACCAACAACAACAACTTCAACAACAACAACAACACCAACAACAACAACACCAACAACAACAACACCAACAACAACAACAACAACACCAACACCAACAACAACAACAACAACAGTAGCAACAGCAACAACAACAACAACAACAATCATTTAAGACTGGGGACACTCCGTTCTCACCAGTGCCAGGGTTTTCATAGGAGGCGGGCAATACCCCCACTTTGTGGGGGGGCCGGTTCAAGCTCTACCAAATTTCCATACGACTCTTCGCCACCACCCACACCCAGCTTCCCGCCCTATGACGTTCGGACACTTCACTTCGTGGCATGCGGACGACCGTGGCTACTATTCAGGGCCCCGCGGCCGACGACGACGGCGTGCGCGCGCGAAGAAAAAACGAATGTGTCCAATATGGTATTATTTGACAGGGATGATGGCCCTGGCATGCGCGCAACCGTTGTTGCAGAAGTTCGAAGCACGTGAAAAAGTTGCTCGCAAGAGCCCGTTTGACAGAAATGTTGAAAAAATATAGGGTTTCCTCAGAAATCCGCAAGAGCGCGCAAGATGATTTGTTGAAACTTTTTGTTTGAAAAACCATTGGGTTTTTTCATGTTTTTATGTTAAAATCGCTACGAAAACTAAGGTTTTGGAAGGATTTCATCTTGCGCGCGCGAGTGTGCACTTCGTGTCATTTTTTCAAAGGATTCTTGCAGTTTGGTTATGTTAGAACAAGAAATTTCATTTTATAGTGTTTTTTGCAAGGGAAAGCGGGCGTCAACAAAACAACCGGATCCGGACACCCACGTTTTGCCTGAGACTTCCTCACGAAAGTGATGAAAATGTGGCTGCGGCCTAGGCGCGGCGAGGGGGGCGCGCACCAGGGGCCCCAACAATAATTATTCTTTAGAATAAATAATGTTCAACAACAACACCACCAACAACAACAACGAACATACCTTACAAAAAAACACTGATCCTTGACGCTCCTCGATGGTCCTCGCATAGAAAGAATGCACCCGTCCGAGCGATGCCCAGGGTCACGCAGAGAGGACGCGCGGTCCCAAGTCGTGCTGCGAGGCGGCGCGCCTATCGCGGGGTGCGCGGGGACTGCGCGGCGGGTAGGAGGCGAGGGAGGAGGCCGTCCCTCGCGCGCAGACGAGGCATGCGCCCGGGGGGCTGGAATCTGGGCAGCGCGCGCGCTTCGAGCAACCCACGCCCCCCGCATGAGGACGTTCTATCGCGAATCCTCCTCGGCCTCCCCCAGCGCTCTCCTCTTGGACTGAACGACTTGGTGGTTGATGCGAAGGTGGTTACTGCTGTCCTCCGCAGATAGAACCCACCCAAACAGGCCCAACCACCCGTTCGTAATCTACATGGCGGTTGGCCGGTTACGCAGGCCGTCAATGCAGGACCCCGTCCCTCCCGTCCACGCAGGACCCCAAGACGACGATGACGAGCTCTCCTGGACGTCTCCAAAGATCGATCCCCCGGAGGCTCCCGGACTCCGTGAAGACCGTCCGATTCACGCAGAGGGACGAGAGGACGTCCAAGAAGCTCGATCCTGGAACATCCTCCTCCTCGCAGAAGGCGGACTCGACATGCCTAAGATGGTCCGCCGTCGCCCCGCCAGGGGAAAGGTGTGGCCCCAAGGCGGGGGGGGGGGGGGCGCGTCTCGCAGATAGGACATGCCGCCCACCAGCGTTTCCGTAGCGCCGCCGTGTTCCCAGGCATGCGATGCTGTGGCTCTGTTTCAGTCCGCGGACCCCACGAGTTCCTGACCCCTTCCACAGGGGGCAGCGGCTCGTCCTGGAGTCATTCCTGATAGCCCCCTGGGCCCGACAACGTCGCGTCGAGGCCGAACTGGAGGAAAGACGCCCGGACAAAATACCCCAATCTGTGCACAACATCTTCTGACACTTTCACCTGTGAGCGCACGAGAGTGAGCAGACCAACGCGCGAGCAAGATTGAGCGCTCCTCTCTGCTTCTCTCTGACGACGTGTGATGTCTTCTCTCTGCAGCCGTGCACTAGCTCCCTGGCGGGTCCCCCGTTGGGCGCCCAAGCTCTATGCATGCTGCATCGCGCTGATCAGGGGGCCCTGAGAGGAGAAGCGTCGGAGGTGCAACGCGAGCGCTTCGACGAAGACGTCCCCCCACAATCTAGCCGCGAACGGGCAAAAGTCCTTCCTCCTGACGACTTCCCCGTTGGGGTGTCCATAGGATTCCGTATGGAAGAGTCTTTAAGAGATCCATGGAATGTTCTAGGACATCCACAGGATTCCTTGAGCAATCCGTCGGATGCCTTAGGCACACCTGTAGACATCCTTTGGAAATCCATCGGAACCCTTAGAGAATGTATAGAATCCGGAGGACATCCATCGGAATCCAAAGGAAAACCATATGATTCCTTAGGACATCCATAGGCGTCCTAAGCAAGTCCATCGGATTTCGTAGGAAATCCATAGGATGTCTTATCATATCCGTAGGACTCCGAAGAAAGCTATAGGAAATCAAACGGATTCCAGCAGAAATCGATAATATTCCTTAGGTAAGAGAGAGAGAGAGAGAGAGAGAGAGAGAGAGAGAAAGAGAGTGAGAGAGAGAGAAAGAGAGAGATAGAGAGAGAGAGAGCGCGTTTCACGGGCGCTTGCCTTGGGAACATTCGGCGGCGCGTTTCTCACCCGGGGGTGGGCACCCCCCTCACACTCGGCGACGTCGATCAAACCAACCCCCACCGCCTCGATGTTAGGGGGGGCTCCCCTCCCACCTAACACCCCCCCTCCCCAAGCAGGGGGACCGGGGGAGGGGACTTCAACCCCGCCGCCCCTCCAGCGCCGGCGGCAGCGCTGGCGGCGGCCAGCCGCCCCTCCGGCGCCGGCGCCGAGGGGGGGGTCCAAACCCCAACCCCCCCCTTGGCGCCGGCGCCGGCACAGCAGAACCGACGGCGGGAACGCAGCGACGATGACCAGAGAGGGCCCAAAGGCCGCAGACGGGAAACACAAATCGCCACATACACCAACACCACAACAGCCACCACCACCACAATCACCGCCCACCACACCACCGCCACCACCACCGCCACAACCACCACCACCACCACAGCCCACCACAGCCCACCACCACCACTACCTGACCCAAAGCAAAAACACGGTGGCGGGA